ATGTATTAGGTTGTTAAATTTATGTTAGGATTGTTAAATATGTGTGTTAGAATTGTGGGGAAATTTCAATTCTACCACAAGTTTGATACCACTTTTTAAATTTACTATGAATGAATGACTATATTCATTTGTGATGAAATAACACTAAGCTATATTCAGTATTTTCTCGTTTATGATTTGTATTTGTATTTTTGATATGCTTTTATGTCATGTTTATTTAAATTTGTATTTATGCTTTTCTTTCATGTTTGTTTAAATTTTTTAATTATAAATTTGTATTTCTATTTTTAATATGTTTTACGTCATATTTGTTTAAATTTTATGAAATCCAATAATTTATAAGTTTTGTAAATTTTAAATTTAATATTCAACTTCTAATATAATTAAAAAGTAAAAAATTAACAATTAAACTGATCATTAGAACACATCATGACATACTCTAATGATGCTCTAGTATCATCTATATTCAGATACTTTTATTTTTCTTTGTTAATTTTCTTTAATTTATGATTTTTTTTTTGATATTAAGATATCCACATGATTGTTTTCCTTATTGGACATAATCTTGGTCACAAGACAAGAATAAAAAATCTAATAATATAAGTTGCCTTTTGGCTTAATAAACGATTTTTTCAGCCTTAAGCAATAAAAGATTCTCCTTTCTATTTGATTGACTTTTGTCAGCAAATAAGATAAGCCAATAGATTTTATATCATCTCCAACCATCCACATGGATGTGTACCTAGATTGCCTATATAAAGTAATCAAAGGAACTCAGAAGAAGAAAACCCTAAAATAAGACTCCGCCGATGATGATGCTGAAGCAAACAGCGAAGAAGACTTTTCTAGGACTACGGAATTCGACGGCGGGGTGTCGATTCTACCACGAGAATGTTATAGATCACTTTGAAAACCCTAGAAACGTTGGGTCCTTCAAGAGGGATGATCCCAACGTTGGCACAGGACGGGTTGGAACAGCTGCCTGCGGGGACTTGATGGCCCTCCAGATTAAGGTCGATGAGTCCGGTCACATCACTGACGCTCGATTTAAAACCTTTGGCTGTGGTGCCGCCATCGCCGCTTCTTCCGTCGGTATGCTTTTATCATTGAACAGATTTGCTTCTTTTTTAAAAAAAAAAACTCAGATATTTCCTTATATTTCTTTTTCAGCTTCTGAATGGATCAAGGGCAAAACAATATCTGAAGTTGTGACCATTAAGAACTCGTAAGTGCCCTTCTAGACCTTGACAATACTCTACTGTATCTCTGTTTCTGTTACTGGAATCCAGTCTAGCTAGTGATATGATATTTAGTTTTAAGCTTTGATCTAATGTATGATAATGATGACATGATAGATTCAATGTTTTGAATTTCTCAATATTACTAGTTTGTGCTCTAATTTTCCAGGGCAATTGCAAAGCATCTTCGCTTGCCTCCTGTCAAGCTGCATTGCAGTATGCTTGCTGAGGATGCTATCAAGTCCGCCGTCCAAAACTACAAAGAGAAGAAAGTGATTGCGGATGCCGCCGTGGCTTGAGGGTTTATAGTTTTTTTACATTTTAAAAGGACTGGTGTGTCTAATGTTTATTAACTACTGAAAACTGGCATGTCCTGAGGCTTTTTTTTTTTTTAATCCTATAATAATTAGCTAGTATGTTTTAAACCATGAATTCAAGTATCTGAGTATAAATTTAATGTTATATGAATAAAAGTATCTTCATTTTAAACATTTTTAAGATTATGAACCTCTTAAAATCATTTGTATACTATCTGGGGATATTGTCTATCTATTTGTTTTTTGTTTTTAAAACCCAAAC